GTCCTGGAGGTTCCTAAGCCTCTCCTCATTTTATTGAATTCTTATTTCTTCATTCTGTTCTGGTTGAATGTTTCTTTCTTCCCTCTGCTCCACTCCATTGATTTGGATCCCGGTTTCCTTCTCATCACTGTTGGTTCCCTGTACATTTTCCTTTATTTCACTTTGGATAGTCTTCACTTTTTCTTCTATTTTGTGACCAAGCTCAACCAATTCTGTGAGAATCCTGATTACCAGTGTTTTGAACTGTGCATCTGATAGGTTGGCTATCTCTTTGTTGCTTAGTTGTATTTTTTCTGGAGCTTTGATCTGTTCTTTCATTTGGGCCTTTGTTGTTGTTGTTATTGTTGTTGTTGTTGTAGTCGTCGTCTCAGTGTGGCTCTTATGTAGTAAGGGGTGGAACCTTAGGTGTTCACCAGGGCAGGGCAACCCACATCACTGTGTTGTGATGCTGTATGTAGGGGAGGGGTCCAAGAGGGAATGGTGCTGCTTGCTCAGCTCTCTGCCAGCTTTCAGTCACTTCCCCCGCTACCCAAAAGCAAATTGGGCCTTTCTGGTGCTGATTCCCAAGTAGGTTGTTTTGTGTACATTCTGGGACCCTGTGGGTCTCTTGTGAACTCTCCTGTGAGGCTGGGAGTTTCTCCTGTTGCCTCAACCCCCATAGGGTTGTACAGTCTGTCTTGCTCCCCCATTGTTCCTCCCAGTTTATTTGCATGCAAATGTGGACCTTCTATTCCACCAGCCACTGCCTTGCCCACCTAGTCCTCTAGCCACCACCTTGCTATGAGTTCTCTCTACCCCGCTGCCCTTCTCTGCTTGTCCTACTGGTCTCTATGAATGTTTCTTCTTTAACTCCTTGGTTGTAGACTTCCATACTGCTCGATTTTGTCAGTTCTGATTGTTTTTTGTTTTTAAATTTGGTGTCCTTCTTTTGGTTGTACAAGGAGGCACAGTGGATCTACCTATACCTCCATCTTGCCTGGAAGTCTAAAGAGACTTTAAATGTGAAAAATTGTTTTATTTTTATCACATGTTTACCATTCCTAGCACACTTCATTTCTTTGTATAGATCCAAATTTCTTTCTGAAGAACTTTCTTTTACATGTAGTGCAGGAATACAGGAGAATATTTTCCAGCTTTGTTTGTCCAAAAAGAGCCTTTATTTCACCTTCATTTTGAAAAGATAGTTCTATTTTGTATAATTCTAGATTGATGGGGCTTTTTTCCTCTCAGTATATAAATGACATTGCTTTGTTAATTTCTGGTTTACATGGTTTGTCATTAGTAGTCTGCTATCATTATTGTCTTTGTTCTTTCTATACAAAGTGTCTTTTCTTCTCTAGCTGCTTTTATTTTTTATTTTTTTACATACATCTATCAATTGACTTATTTATTTTGTAATTAAAAAAAATTTTATTGTTCAATTAGTTGTTCCCATTTCCCCCATTATGCTTCCCTGCTTTTAATATTCCCTGTTTAGCATTCATTTTTAGCCATTTTATTTTTTTCTCAAGTTCTGCTTAAAATTCATTGAGTTCTTGGGGTCTGCGGGTTTACAATTTTCATCAGAATAAAATATTTTTGTCCATTATTTTTTTCTGTTCTTTCTTTCTCTGGAACTCCAATTACACATTGGTAGACTTCTTGATGTTGTCCCACAGATATTCCCATGATATTTTGTTCATTTATTTTCATCTCCCCATGCTAGGCCATACTTTCTCCATATCTTTCCCTCCCATAAGGTAGCCACTCCAAAGGCTCACCTTCCTTACTCAGTTTAGTTTCTTATATTCTGCTCTAGGCCACTGCTGTTTCTCCTCATTTTCACTATTGATATTCGCTTTGTTATGGCCCACCTAATGACTTTAGGACTTAATTGTTCAGGAAGAGAAGAGAAATAAAAGAGAAAGACAAACCAGTTTGTGTTTTTAAAATATTACACTCTGACTATTGTGTGGAAAATGGATACATGGGGTAAGAGTAGACACAGAAAATTGATGAACAGAACTGATTATTGACTGGACTAGGGTAGTAGCTGGGGAGATAAAGTTAAGTGGATGAATACAAGCTATCTCCTAAAATTAGAAAAGTGGAATCAACAGGATGTGTTGAAAGACTGCTATGGTGGTGACAAAAAAAAGAAAGAGAGAGAGAGAAATCAAGGACAACTCTTAGCTTTTGGGGTTTTATTTACTCAGATTGATAAGAAAGGATGCAGAGTTTGGAAATATTAGACATTTTGAGTTTTATATGCCTATTAAATATTCAAGAGACTACATCTAGTTGGTATTTAGATGCCTGAGCTTAGATCTCAGTTGAGAGGTCAGAACAATAGACATAAATTTGGAAGTCATGTAAAGATAGATTGTATAAAGTGATGAGGCTGGCTGAAATCATCTGTAGGGGAGGCAACAGCTGATGAAGAAGCCCTGTCAGCTGGGCTGACTCCATCACTCAGCTGTCAGAAAAAAAAGAAGAATCTAATAAATGAGACTGAGAAGGACCAACCAATACAGAAGAAAGAAAATCAAAAGATAATATCAAGGAAGCTAACAGAATTTAGGGGCTTTGGAAAAATATGTTGGTTATCTGAGTAGATTGTTGTGAAGAGATGAAGTAAGATGAGGCCTGAAGAATGTGCAGTTGGATTAAGGGACAATATGGAGGTAACTATTTACAGTATTGAGAGCAGCTTTGCATGAAGGGACAGACCATGACTGAAGTAAAGAGAAAAATGAATGAGTATGCATGGAGGTTTAAGAATTTCACAAGAAGAGTTCCGGCCAAGATGGAGGCATAGGTAGACACACTGTGCCTCCTCGCACAACCAAGATAGGAACAACAACAATTTAGAAATAGAATAACAACCAGAACTGATAGAAAATTGAACTGTATGGAAGTCAGACAACCAAAGAGTTAAAATAGACACGTTCATCCAGACCAGTAGGAGGGGCAGAGTCAGGCAGCCAGGCAGAGAGGGGTTGCGTGGCACAAAGAGCATTGGGACCAGGCACATAAGACTGCAGCAGGTGGACCCTGGGCACACAAGTGGGCAACTGGCAGACCCCGGCTGAGGGGTGGCAACTGGCAGACCCAATGAGGCAGCAATTGTGAAACAAGGCACTGATTGCAACCTAGGATCCCAGTTCTGGAAAATATAGCCTCGGGGCACTGATTGAAAACACCTATGGGGGGTTGAGGTGCAGGGAGAGACTCCCAGTCTCATAGGAGAGGTCGTTGGAAAGACCCACGGGGTGCACAAGCCCAACCACACAGGAATCAGCACCAGAAAGGTCCAGTTTGCTTGGGGGAAGTGGTGGAAGGAACTGAAGTCCACAGAGAGCAGTGCAAGCACCATTGTTCCCTCTCGGACCCTGCCCCCACATACAGCATCACAACCCAGCAAGTGGGCTGACCTGCCCTGGTGAATACCTAAGGCTCCACCCCTCATACATAACAGGCACAACCAGACCAAAAAAAAGATGGCTCAAACAGAAGAAGAAATGAAAGCCTCAGAACCGATCCTTTTAAGCAACCAAGAGATAGCTAACCTATCACATGCACAGTTCAAAACACTGGTGATCAGGAAGCTCACAGAACTGGTTGATTTTGGTCGCAAATTAGATGAAAAAATGAAGGCTACAATAAGTGAAATGAGGAAAAATGTACAGGGAACCAATAGTGATGGAAAGAAAGCTGGGACTCAAATCAATGGAGTGGACCAGAAGAAGAAAAAAAACATACAATCAGAAAAGAATGAAGAAATAAGAATTCAATAAAATGAGGAGAGGCTTAGGAACCTCCAGGACATCTTTAAACATTCCAACATCTGAATTATAGGGGTCCCAGAAGGAGAAGAGGAAGAGCAACAAGTGGAAAAGTTATTTGAACAAATAATAAAGGAGAACTTCCCATTCTGGCAAAGGAAATAACTTTCAGGAAGTCCAGGAAGCTCAGAGAGTCCCAAAGAAGTTAGATCCAAGGAAGCACACACCAAGGCACATCATAATTAAGTTACCCAAGATTAAAGATAAGGAGAGAATCCTAGAAGCAGCAAGAGATAAGGAGACAGTCACCTACAAAGGAGTTCCCATCAGACTGTCACCTGATTTCTCAAAAGAAACCATGCAGGCAAGAAGGGGCTGGAAAGAAGTATGCCAAATCATGAAAGGCAAGCACCTACATCCCAGATTGCTCTATCCAGCAAAGCTATCATTTAGAATGGGAGGGCAGATAAAGTGCTTCTCAGATAAGGCCAAGTTACAGGAGTTCATCATCACCAAGCCCTTATTATATGAAATGTTAAAGGGGCTTAACTAAGAAAAAGAAGATAAGAAACATGTATAGTAAAAGGACAGCAAACTCACAATTATTAACAACCACACCTAAAACAAAAACAAACTAAGCAAACAACTAGAACAGGAACAGACCACAGAAATGGAAATCACATGGAGGGTTAGCAACAGGGGAGTGGGAGAAGGAGAGAGGGGAAAAAGGTACAGAGAATAAGTAGCATAGATGTTAGGGAGAAAATAGATAGGGGGAGGGTAAGAATAGTATGGGAAATATAGAAGCTAAAGAACTTATGACACATGGACATGAACTGAAGGGGGTGGAATGTGGGTAGCAGAGGGTGTGCAGGGTGGAAGGGAGTGAAGGGGGAAATGGGACAACTGTAGTAGCATAATCAATAAAATATATTAAAAAAAGAATTTCACAGAAGAATCAGAGTAAAATAATAATAGAACTCTAACTCTATAAGGACAAAGAACTGGAGAGATAACAACAGAAGACAAACATATTTTTTTTACTTTAGCAGGTTTATCTATTTATTTTATTGTTCTATTACAGTTGTCCAAATTTTCCCTGTTGCTCTAGAAGCATTTTTTTAAAGATAAGGGCCACTTCCTTCTGCAGCTGCCAGCCCACCAGGTGGACACACTGTGTGGAGGGTGGTGTCCGGCATGCTGCCAACATGACTTACAGCAGTCTAGAGGCCGCTGTATAGAAGTGTGAATGCAGTCCTTCACCACCACAAATTGTGCAGTCAAGTTTCCTACATGGGAGGTCACTGGGTGGGCACATCCAGAGTGTAGCAGTGATGGGCCTTTCCCTGTGAAGGCCACCTTCGTGATCATGATATCACCCCTGCCAGGTATTATGAATAATGCTGCATTGACCTTGGGTATACAAGGATCTGTTTGAGCCCAAACAAGACACTGATGGCTACAAGAATGAGGGTCTGCAGAATAGACCACCATAGCACTGCTGGTTGATGCTCTCCCAAAAGGGCTCCTGTCACCACCAATGGTAGTCCTGCTCTTTCTAAATCTGTTCCTCTTGCTCCACCAGCTATCAGACTCATAGCTGCAATTCACTCAGATTGTCTTCGGCAGCGATTTCTGCAGTCATTGGTGTGTTCTCCCACCTAAATGTCTAGACAAACTCTTAACATGCCTCCAACAAAAAGGGAGAACTTGGTGGGATTAGAGTGAAGATCATCTGATGCTCACCAGGAGTGTGGGATGTGAAAGTGAAACCACCTTCAGAGCCATACTGAAAAGCCAAAATGACCTTGTCTTCTAGGCCTTTCACCTCCATGAACATGCCAAGCCCAGGGGTGGCTGGCAGATGCTCTTCCTGCTGCTTGTCATACAGCTGCATCTGGTAGTTTCCTATAACCATAGCCTTGTCTGGAATCTCCTCTTTAAAGCACTTCTCCATTTCCCTAATGTGGAAACAGAGTGTGCCTCCACAGGTTGCCAGACCTGAGGGGGAACCAAACAAGGTACTATCCTATCCCTTCACATTGGACCCTCTCCCCAGACATAAACATGGATTGAAAGACTCAGTATTGTTGTGTTAGTCAGGATTCTCCTAAGAAACAAAACAATTAGGATATGTATTTATAGAGAGAGGTTGTGGGGAAGGGAAAGTCTGAAGTCCACAGGGGAAGCCAACAGACTGGAAATTCCAGTGAGAGTTGATGTTGCAGTCAGAAGACAATCTGAAGCAGAGTTCCTTCATCCTCATGGAACCTCAGTTTTTCCTCTTCATCTGATTGGATGAAGCCCACCTATGTTATGGAGAGTGATCTGTTTTACTCAAAGTCAACTATTTGAAATGTTAATGACATCTAAAAATGCCTTCACAGCAACACCCAGACTGATGTTTGACCAAAGAGTGGGGCACCACAGCCTAGTCAAGCTGACACAGAAAATTAACCATTGCAATTGGTAACTTATCAGTTCTCTTCAAACTGATCTGTAGGTTCATAGTAATCCTAATTAAAATCCAAGGAGGCTTTAAAAAAAAAACAATTGACAAGCTGGTTCCAAAATTCATATGGAAGTGCAAAATACAGAGTAACTAGAATAGTCAAAACAACTTTGAAAAAGAAGAACAAAGTTGAAGGATTCACACTATTTGATTTTAAGACTTATCAAGAAGCCATGGTAATCAATACAGTATGGCATTAATGAAAGGATACACACATAGATCAATGGAACAGAATGTGGTCTAGAAATTGACTCATATACCTTGGTCAATTGATTTAAAAAAAATACAAAGGCAATTCAGTGGAGAAAGGATAGTCTTTACAACAAATGCTGCTGGAACAGCTGTATATCCATATGTCAAAGTCTAAATTTGTTCCATATTTTGCAACATATTTTTTATTTTTATTTTTTGAAAGATTTTATTTATTTATTTTTAGAGAGAGGGGAAGGGAGGGAGGAAGAAAGGGAGAGAAAGATCAATGTGCCTCTTGTGCACCCCCTACTGGGGACCTGGCCTGCAACCAAGGCATGTGCCCTGACTGGTAATTGAACCTGTGACCCTTGGTTCACAGGCTGGCACTCAATCCACTGAGCCACGTAGCCAAGGGGCAACATATTTTTTAAAAGTAGCACAAAATGGGTCATAGATCCAAATGTAAAACTTTATTACACTTTCAGAAGGAAACAGGAAAAAGTCTTGTGGCCTTGGATTAGGAAAAGGATCCTTAGGTATGGTACTGAAAGTATAATTTATAAAAGAATCTAAAAGATGTGATAAAAGTTAAGAATTTTTACTCTTTGAAAAACACTTACATGAATGAAAAGACAAGCCACAGACTGGGAGAAAATATTTACAAATATACATCTAAAAAGGGGCTTGTATCCAGCATATATAAAGAACTCTCAAAACTCAATGAAACAAAACTAGTAAAAAAAAAATGGGCAAAAGCTTTCAACAGGCAACACCAAAGATGACAAATAGGAACATGGAAAATACAAATTAAAACCACAGTGAGATATCACTACATACCTATAAGAATGACTAAAATTTAACACACTGACCATACCAACTGTTGGTAAGGATGTGGAAGAACTGGTGGTGGGAACATGAAATGGTACAGTAATCTTAGAAAAGAGTTAAACAGATACCCATCATGCGATCCAACCATTCCACTCCTAGGTATTTGCCCAAGGGAAATGAAGGCATATATCCAAACACTTGTATATGATTGTTTATAGCAGCTGATTGGTAATAGCCAAAACTTGGAAACAACCTAAATGTCTCTAACTGATGAATTAATAACAAATTGTGGTACAGTAAGTCTGCACTTAATGTCATCAATAGGTTTTGTGACTAAAACAACATAACAAAACCAGTTTTACCATAGGCTAAATTTTTTTTGCGTGTGAATGCTGACTGGATATTTTGTTATATTAAGAAATTAATGAGAGGCCCCAGCCATGGCGGAGAGCCAGCTAGAAGCCGGACAGCAGGTGGGTGAGCGGTAACTCCAGCAGAAAAGAGAAGGCTTCAACATAGAGGCTTATATCAGTGATGAGAGGTAACCACTGACTGGTAAGTTATTCATTATGTGGAATCCTGAAAAGGTTCAGAAATTGCAACCAGGTCCTGCTAAGGATGTGGGTGTGTTGTGTGACTAAACACAGAAGGGAGGGTTGAAATACAATGCAGGTAGAACCCATCTCTCAATCCCATATCCTTTCTTCTATTCAAGTAGTTAGGGGAATACATCTCTGTCCTTCACATGAGCCTGGGGTTTTATTTCTGGAAATACTGAAACCAAATAAACTCTGGTTCAGGGATCCCAGGCAGTGCTGAGGTTAGCATTGAGGAGTTGTTCTGAAAGTATGCAATTAAGTGAATTCTTACGTACTGAACTGTAAAATCTTTCATTGCCTCACCCTAGTGAGCTTCTAGCATATTTTGGCAGTTATGCTTATACTTTCTAGACAGCAATTTGGAAATTTTCTCTTGTGGAAAGAAATTACCCCACATTAGAAAAGACCTGCAGATACTGACATTTTCAGGGTCTTCCCAAAAGTGCCACATCTCTTCCAAGTTATGGTAGAGCTAAGTCCATCAGTTAGCAGGCTCCACCCCTGAACACAGAACTTCTAGCGGCATCTTAGTGCTTCCCTCTCAAATGCAAAAGACATTCTGAGATAACTACATATTTGAGGAAAGTCTCTAACTTGAAATACAAACATCCTATGAAGCAAATTCAGAGAAAACTGAGACAATGCAGAAAGCAAAAACAATTTCAAATGTCCTAAGCAAGAGAAGTGAAAATATAGCACCCGTGAAAGAAACAAATAAAAAATACTATTTTTAAGGGAACATACCAAAAAACAAAAGAAAACTCTTTGAAAAAAATTTAAACCCAAAATTTCAAAATTTACTAAAAAAATTAGAACACTTGAGAAGCCAAGGCTATCTCCCTTGACAGGGCTGTCAAACTCATTTTCACCAGGGGCCACATTAGCCTTGTGGTTGCCTTCAAAGAACCGAATGTAATTTTAGGACTGTATAAATGTAACTACTCCTTTACGAGGGTCAAGGAGCTCAGTGCTGTCGCCAGGTAGAAACAAGGTGTTGGGTCAGATAAAACAAGGTGGAGGGCCAGACTTGGCCCGCAGGCCTTGTGTTTGCCACCTGTGGCCTAGAAGAAAATTAAAGTGATAGAGTTGAAAGACAGAAAAAGAATATTAGAGTGTCAGTCCAGAAGGTCAAACACTCAAATAATAAGATTTTCAGAAAGACAAAGCAGAGAAATGGATGTGAGGCAATTGTCAGAGAAAAACATGCAAGAAAATTTTCCATAAATAACTGACAACTTTCTTCTCTATAGGTTTCTAACACAAAGAAAGAAGAATACTAGAGCACTGTATTATGAGATTTTACAACAATAATAGTTTTTTTGAATCCTAAGTCTTCCAAAGAAAGAAAATAGGCCCCTTACAAACAATCAGTAATTGAAATAATATCAGACTTCACTATCTAGAATCTATAAACAATGGATTAATACCTTCAAGATTCTGAGGATATACAGTGTCCAACCTAGAATTCTATAAGCATCTATACTATAAATCAAATGTACAGATGGAATAAAAAAATTCTCAGACATATAAAGTTTATAGATTTATGCATTTTTCTCTCTTCCTGGGAGAAATGGCTACATTACATTTCCCACCCTTCCTTGCAGCTAGGTATGACTACATGTTTAAGCCCTAGCCAGAGGACTGTGAAGGGAAAGGATGTATACAACTTGTATGCTTCCCTTTAGCTGAAAGGATGATGACATTGAAACCATGTGTAGAAAATGACGGAATCACCTTCAGCCTGGGATCCTGAATGATTGCATTGAACAGAGTTCCCACCAATCTATGATAAAGTCTATTTTATTTTACTTTATTTTAGTTTTATAATAAGTTATATGTTTTTTTAACTTGTTTATTTTTCAAAGTCATTTTTGGGATCTGTTGGTTACTTTACCCTAACAGGGGATAAGTCTTTAACACAATTTTCTACCATGAGCCTTCTCTCAAGAAGTGTGTAGCCCTGGCTGGCGTGGCTCAGTGGATTGAGCACGGGCTGCGAACCAAAGTATTGCAGGTTCGATTCCCAGCCAGTGCACATGCCAGGGTTGCAAGCCACGGCCCCCAGCAGCTGCACATTCATGTTTCTCTCTCTTTCTCCCTCCCTTCCCTCTCTAAAAATAAATAAATAAATCTTTTTTTTAAAAGAAGTGTCTAGAAAAAGTGCTGCATCCAAATGAAAAAATGAAACAAGAAACAAGACATGTTTCCAGAGTGTTGGCAAGAAAATTTGTAGCCAAGAGCTGCACAGCAAACCAGTAACAACAAGCATTGCCTGGAGGTGGACAGATGCTTCCAAGAGGGATATTCCGAGGGAAGCAGTGAATCTGATAGATTGTCTCACGTGTTTTGAAAAGAAATTTATACTCTTCTGATGGATGTTTTGGGGTGAATTAATATACATGAAGAAAGAAATGCAAATTTTTAAATGAGGCTATGATTAATACCCAGAAAACCAAAAATATACAAGAAAGGAGAATAATTGTAAGTCATTATATGACTTAGCTATAGATGTTACTTGCAGAGTAATCATGATGTAAATACTAACTTAACACCAAAGATTTGATATGAACATTTGGGGGAGTGTGAGATGGAATATGAGGTGTTTATGTGCAGGGGTGGGAGTTGGGTGCTCAGTCTCCTTTTGAACAGAAGGAATGAGACCAACACAACCAACAAATAAGAATGTTATTTAGAAATAAGAAGGTAAGTGTCAAAAGAAACTCTGGGAAGTGGGGTGCACTAGGGAAAAGCAGTGGGAAAAGGGGTCAGGATCTGAAGTTTGACTATAAGCCTGCAAGATTCTTTCTTTTACAGAGCTATTTACATGCATTACCTAGTAAAAGAAAATTAAAATGAAATAAACAAGTAAATGGGAGGTGAAAAGGGGAAATAGCAAATGTAGAGAACTGTTTTAAAGGTGGGTGATGAAGGAGAATGGAGGGGAGGCAGTGGTTGGGAGTGATGTGGCTGTGCAGGTGTTAGGCATGGAAATTATTACTGTTGAGTAAGTGTTGAGTCCGGGAACCTTTGTGGTTAGATCGCCTGAGAGCTCAACACAGCCACTCCATGCTTACAGACCTGGGATCTCTGGACAGCAGAGCCCCAGAACCCAGGTTTTTAATAATTTCCCTGAGTGATATTTATGGACACTCTTTGGATGCTGATGGGAAGGATTGGAGAATGGTAGAGGGAGAAAAGATATGAGAAGGAGAAAACCCCTGAGAAGGCTCCAAAGCTGACAGGAGGGTGAGAAGGGAAGCAGATGTCCCATGGGGGAGTTAATCCTTGCTAATTCCCTGTAATAGAGTGTGTGTGGTGGGGGCGTTACTTTATAGACCTGGTGGTGGGACAACAGGGTGCCTGTCAGCACCTGGTATACTTGTCTCTTTCGTGATGAAATTGTATTTGGGCCCTGGCTGGTGTGGCTCAGTGGCTGAGTGCCAGCCTGTAAATCAAAGGTTCACCGGTTCAATTCCCAGTCAGGGCACATGCATGGGTTGTGGGCCAGGTTCCCAGTAGGGAGTACTTGAGAGGCAACCATACACTGATGTTTCTCTCCCTCTCTTTCTCCCTCCTTTCCCCTCTCTAAAAAGTAAATAAATAAAATCTTTAAAAAAAAGAGAGAAAGGAATCTTGTTTGAGTCTGTTTGTCTTCTGCAGCAGCTGGAGTCCCATGAGGGCAAGACTTTGGCTTTTCTGCAGCAGTCTTCACCACACCCTGGCAGGTCGCAGTGCCTGGCCCAGGGTACCAGCTCCATAAATGTCTGTCAGATGACTACATGAAGGACATGCTTAGTCTGAGGTAAATAAGATGGATAGGCCTGGAGTCAATGATCTGGATGAGTTAGAAGTGGATTTGGGAGTCCCTGGTAGGGAGGGAACAGTTGAAGCATTTGAGATGAAAGGGATCACAAGAATGGGGGAGAAAAGAGAGAGCCCTAAAGGAGGAAGAGCTGGAGCAGAGGGAGGGCTGGAGCAGAGGGAGGGAATGTAGAAAAGGATGCAAGACATGGACATATTGGTGAAGAAAGGGGAGAAATCAACCCCAATACTCTATATCAGGGGTGTCAAACTCATTTTCATTTTCATTGGGGACCACATCAACCTCGTGGTTGCCTTCAAAGGGTCAAATGTAATTTTAGGCCTGTACAGATGTAACTACTCCTTAACAATTAAGCAAGAGCTCAGTGCTGCTGCCAGGTAGAAACAAGATCCTGGGCCGGATAAAACAAGGTGGAGGGCCAAATTCAGCCCTTGGGCCTTGTGTTTGCCACCTGTGCCCTACATCATTCAACCTAGATCTTTTCTTTTAATTCTGTACCTTCTTCCTCTTGACCTGACCTCCTATAGCAAAGCAAAGGAAGTAGATATGCTCCCTAAGCCTGTATCTAATAGTAAAGAAGAAAATTTGATGCGAGAAATCAAAGACTGTAGTCTGTGAAATCAGCTCAGGCCATGAGGTCAGGTCCCACTGCTACCCTGATCCCCCCTGCTCACCCTAGGGGTTGCTTCCTTCCACAAAAACACCGCTGACTCAGAGGAGAGTCTTGCTTTCCCATGGTCAACCTCCAGTTTGTTTCTCCCAGGAATTCTGAGGGAGGAAGCCTAGTTGAAATCAGGCAGCATTTGAGGAAGGGATATTTCTACTTCACTTTAGACTCAGAATATGGCTCTAATTTGGAACTAAGAATGCTATTGGAACTAGGATGTTCCCGTTGAAAACAAAACATCTGTGCAAAATACAGAGGAAGTGAGATACCTTTGGCTATGCTGACACTGAGATCCCTGGCAGTGGAGCTGGCCACAACTAGCACACAACTAGCTTTTGCAGAAATGGCCAAAAGAGTGAGTCATTTTTGCTTTTGGAAGAGGAGTCATGGCTGGACTGGGACTCCTATCTCAGACCTATGGCCTCCATACCTTTCTCCTCATTAACTCATAAATCACTTACCCAGGACTCCAAAGAGCAGCAGCCACAGGACCAGGAAATCGGGAGAGACGTTCCCTCTCCTCATCTTGAAATGATGCACAGGGAAAGTTCTCATTTAGAATGCCTAGGTCCCAGAGGAAGGTGAACTGCAGAGGCAAAGAGGCAAGAGGTACACCCCCAGGGCCTTGAAGGGAAGTATAGTTGCAGGGAAATCTCAGAAGGCCAGTCAGAACCAAGGTGAGCCTCCCAGAGGTGGAGAGGCTGGGGCACTCTACAAACTGCCCGAGTTTGACATCTACCTTTCTTTCTTTCCTCATGAGCATATCTAAGGCATTTATACTGGCCACAGCTTCAGGTCCTCCCTTCCTAGGGAGGGGCATCTCTGTGTCCTACTCTGCAGCTCAGGGCTGTTCGCACTGAGGTCCCTGTAGGAGCGAAGGCAACAGAGGGCAAGTCAGCCAGAGCAGAGGGGGCAGACCCAGGGAGGGGCAGGGAGGGGATCAGTGTCTGGTGGAAGGACCCCACCCTTTGAACCAGAAATTATCTGAAGCCTGTTTTCTTTGAGTGTATGCCTCATTTCCAAAGCAGGCAGCCTGAGTAAAGGAGGAAAGAGGAAGAGAAGAAAAGGAAGCAAGTAGATCTTAAAGGTCAATTGGTGTTCATTTGGGGGAAATTGGGGGTTTGAGGTCTTCTCCAGAGTGTTTTCTCCTAGATGCAGGGCACACAACTGTGATCCTTTCTCTGGGCTCTCCCAGCCAGAGTGCCTATTCCCAACCTCGTTCCGTTTGGAGTCCTGGATCTGGCACTGTTGGAAAGAACCTAGAAATAAGACCACAGTAGCTACAGAGGCCCAGTATGAGCAGCATGAAGAAACAGATGAAGCAGTCATCAGAAGGCATAGGGTAGGAAAACTAAGGAGTCAGGAATGGGCTGAGTGTGTGAAGCTGACTGGTCAGAGACCATTTTTTGAATGCCTGTTTGGAGAGTCAGTTGTGGAGATATGAAGGAAAGAGCACACGAGAGCTGAGGGCTTAGAACTTTTGTTTGTTTGAGACAGCCAGAGATTTGTCCATCACGGTGTGAGGAATTTCGGGGACCAACCACTTGTATAAAGTAAACACACAGTGTGGGTTCAAAATCCATCCTTGAACCTCTTGTGCTGAAAGTCTTACTTAGAAAATTCCCAAGTTCCAGCTTCTCACTGCCATGTTCCTCAATGTCCTGCCTCAGATCTTCTTCAACTTACCAGACAAGAGCCTGCTTTCTCTTTCTAATTTTAGTGTATCTTCAATTCTAGTTCTTGTCATTATAAGGAGTCTCAAAGCTACCTTCCCCTATTACATATGGTTTGTCAGAAAAAAATAAATAAAACAAAAAGAAACAAGATCTTCTATAAAAAACAAACCAACATGATCTTTGCCTGCAACCCATCTTCCTCCAAGCTGCCCCTGAGGGTGGTGGTCACCCTGGGACTGGAGGTGATGATCTGTCCTGGTGTTGCTTAGACTTCATTAAACAGCTAAACCACCATTTGTGCAGAAAAAAACTTCATATTCCCTTACTGGTTTACATTTAAACTATGTACCATAAATTTAATAAGTTTAAAAAATGTAATATCTACCATACTGTAAATATAGACATTGAAATAATAAGACAGTTTTATTGCTGTTTAGAATGTTTCAAGTGGATGCTAACACTTCTCATCTCAGTATCCACCATTTCCCTTTCTAATAGCATATAAGCAAGTTCTTCCTTAACAGTCTGCTCCACAGAGTTCCTTCTGCTCTCTGAATACACCACTTGCCCCACATTATTCAACTGTAATCTTTTTTGTTTAAAAGATAGTTTTGAGCATCATGTTTTTCTGTACCAAAAGATATGTCTATAAACTTTTTAATTTTCCTGTGACTTTAAAATTTATTTCTCAATAACCTTTTGGTGAAAAGTAAACAAAAATATTTTTTCTATGAAATATTTTTCCATATTTTCAAGAAAATATAAAACAAGATCCTACCTAATATACGAAATAGCAAAATTTATAGACTGCTTACTAATGCAGGACAATTCTAAGGGCTGCACAGCAACTCTATGAAGTGGGTCCATGATTCCCTCATTTTTATGGATGGGTACACTGAAGTCTGGAATAATTAAGGAATTCGTGCACACCTCAGGGAGTTTAGATTTGGGACCAAAAATTCTAGGTCCCCATCTGTGCTCTTGGCTGACATGCTGTAAGGCCTCTCTGTGTTCCTTTCATCTTAGGATGCAGCATTAATGAGTTGGAAGTAAATATGGAACTAGTTACATTTTTCTCCTTGAAATCATGCGAAATATACAACTGCAACCTAGACCAAGAAACTGGTGAATGAGACTACCTCCTCACAAAGAATGGTGTACAAGCCCAGGATGTGGGTTTCATATAAGTTTCTGTTTTTCAGCAAATTTCTACCAATCCTGAATATCCTACAATACGCAGACAGACCGATCAGGTGGGCTGCTTGCCATTGGTTCTCATCCAGGTTAGCAAAGGCACTGCCACCTGTGTTACTGGTTGCAGGGGTTGCCTGGGCCCTACTTTCACAGCAGGCTCCCACAGGAGGGGCGCATTCTTTGACACAGATGGGAGAGAACAGTTTGTTAAACAGTAATTTTATTACTCTTTACCTCACTCTGCAATATATCTGAATACATAGCATCTGAACATGTACCAAAATTACCGGTTATTATACACCATTTAGCCCTTAAAAGGAATTTATATGAGGCAGGTGAAAGCATAAGCCCTACTCTGGGTATATAAAGCCTAAACTAGAAGAAGTTTTTGCAGTATCCCTTCATTTTCTCTATAATAGTGGGGACCAGAAAGAAAAGGTGGGTGGTAGCTGTAAAGGGGAGTTAGAAAAGTATACGTAGCCTGATGCTCCAACCACAGAGGTCTTTTCAGATGGATCAGTTTTAGGCAAGTATATACATGGAAGTTGAAGATCTGGAAAACGATTCCCATAAAACATCCCACACCTGCATAATATTCTTTAGAAAGTCTTTGTGCACCTCCAGGAGCCCGGGACAGACTCATTCGAAGATCATTGTACTAGACCAACAGAGCAAAAGCACAGGTCTGGCAGGTCAGCGCCTCACCATGACAGAAGTTGAGTAACAGTGCTTTCTAACTCTATAAACACACTGCAGGTTCTGGAATAGTGAGATATTCACAGTAATATAACTAGTGAATTAATCACAAGATAGTTTGCTCACCATGGTTTCCTCCCTTCTTCCTCTATTACCAAGTGCCCATTGCTTTGAGTCATTTGTGGTTTATCTTTAGCAACCAAAATTTTAAAAAAGATTTTATTTATTTATTTATTTATTTATTCATTTATTAGAGAGGGGAAGGGAGGGAGAAAGAGAGAGAGAGTAACATCAATGTGTGGTTGCTTCTCAGGTGGCCCCCACTGAGGACCTGGCCTGCAACCCAGGAATGTGCCCTGACTGGGAATCGAACCATTTAGCCCTGCGCGATGCTTTTGTTCGCAGCCCGCGCTCAATCCACTGAGATATGCCAGCCACGGCAACAACCAAAATTTTTATTTATGCATTTTTTATAATGTCTGGTAATAATATTGTAGTAGCTTTACTGAGATATGATTACATGCTGTGTAGTTCACCTGTTTGAAATAGGTAAGTCAGCCAATGGTTTTTAGTGTGTCTATGGAGTTATAGTTAGTAAATGCTTTCAATCTGTGTGCTCAACTCTTTCGTCTCTTTATTCTTTCATTCCTCTCATCCACTTCCTCCTTTTTTCTCTGTTTTGAACCTATTCCTCTCATGTAGGTATTCCTGAATCTGTCCTGGTGTCTTCCACTTTCTGGTGGTTCTCATCTCTGTAGTTTGCATCTAACTGAGCTATTTTTTTCCCACTTGATCATCCAGGTTACTAATGTTATTCTCAACAGTGGCCAGTCTTTTTCAGTTCATTTATTATGATTTTAAATGTGAAAAATCATGTCTTACAATGTTTAATTACCTAGATGGATTGCCTTGCCTTATCTCAGTTATTTTCACACCTTTCACATTCTTTCCACAGTTCACATCAGTGGGCAGCACCTTTTCAGGGGGTTCAGCTCGGCTTTTCCTTCTGGTTGCCGGACCCCTCTTAGTGAGGTGATGATGATTAGCCTGCCTATGGCTTAGCATGGCCTCATTAATTAGGTTCACCTGTTTGGGTTTGAGAACACCCCCCCAAATCCCCCACACCCAGCGAGTGCTGGAAGGCAAAACAGTTCCCACTGTTGTGAGTTGGGGTGAAGCCACCAGCAAACTGCTAATTTTCTCCTGAGGGCTCTGTCCCAGGTGGGGGCACTCTCACTGCCTCATGGAACCTAGAGCATCTTGGCTTTCCAAAACAGCTCCCTGTGTCCTCCAACCCCTGTAGGTTCACGTAGCCAGGTCCCCTGAACCCATGATAGAGATATGTGCAGTCCTTCAAGGAGGGGACTTCACGAGCCTCTTAAAAGGTTAGTCCTAAGCCAGAAAGGTTCAGGCCAGAAAGACCTTGCCTGGTAAAACAGGAAGTGCTTCCTCTTTCTTCCAAAGGGCTCACTCTGAGAGAAATGTGCCAACTAGCATCTTCATTCTGACAAGTAGCCCAGGTCGGGAGCAAGTGTAAATGCCCTGCACACTGTGACATGAAATGAACACACCCAGCCCACAGCACACTGTACCCCTCCACTTCGTCATGCTCCGGGAGCTCCGTGTGCCACACATGAGCTCTGCACCACAGGCCTATTCAGTGCACTCCTGGAATCCTGGCCCAGGCCCTCCCTTCCCATTTCTGCCAACTCATTCCCCTGGGAGCCTGAGTGAGTCTTAGGGATCCTGGGCAAGAGTCCTACTTGGGACAAGAATTAGAAAAGGGGGACATGTGAATGAAGTCTCTGGATTTTGCTGTGGAGATTTCAGATGGCAGGTGCTTTACAGCATGGGAGTTCTCTCATATAACTGGGAAATTCATGTCAGTGCAGTAGACACCTACTTATGTGTACACACAGGATCTCTCTGTCCTTTATTTTGGATGTGTTTATTTCTTAGCCAAATGACCATAAGCATCTCTTCTTTCCAATGTCTGGTAAAAGCAACAGAGGGGGAGGAAGCATCTTCTCCAAGGCTGTCACAGATCCGAAGCTGGGAGGGGACTTCTGGGGACAAGTGAAAGGACACTTAGATCTCCAGTCCCTCAGGTCAGCTTCCTCCATGAAGAATGTGGCTCTCTGACTTTAGCCCTGCTCAGGGTCTGTTGTACCATCCTCTCATCTCCATAGCCACAGAGGATACTGGTTTCCTCCAGAACTAGTTAGGGCTCCACCTAGGCCTGTGGTGGACTCTGTGACTCCCTTCAGGGCCCAGGTCAAGGTGCGGGCCATGGGGGTGGTAGACAGCTGTGTCAAAGATGTCTCTCAGGGTCAGGGAGTTTCTCTAGAAAAAGAAAGGTGAACATTTTCAAAATTATATGCCCTTTCCCAAATCTTCACCATGGATTCCTTCTAGAGCCCTCTCCCCGCTCAAACTATCATTGTTATCTTATACTTCTTCCTCCAGCCTTTTCCCTTCTTTTGGCCCCTTTACCATCAAGTCAATGGTTCCCTTATACACTGATTGGCTCCTCTGGCCACATCGTGGTACTTCTCTGTAGTAACTCTCCCTGATCTTCCCTTTCTCCCCACTCATCCCCAGCTTGGTTCCCCTACTATTCATACCCATTTGCTAGGTTCCTGATACTCCTTCTCCAGGCACTACCCTACTTATTAGGCACTCACCACACAGAAGAAGAGCCCAGCAAAGAAGCCCACAGCTACTACAACCGAGACCAGAGTGATGAGAAAGATTTCCCATGGCTTCAGGGACCCATCGGGCCCCACTTTACTTGTTGAAGTAGCAGTACTTGTGCTATTTCCGTAGGAAGTTGTGTGCATTCCAGTTGGAGAAGGTGGGCCTGAGGTTGCACTGGACCCAGTGTTGACAGCTGTACTGGTCCCATTGGAGGTCCCAGTGGGTATAGTACTCAAGGCTGTGCTGGTCCCACTGGAAGTCTCACTGGATCCAGTGTTGGAGGCTGTGCTTTTCCCACTGGAGACCATACTGGATCCAGTGTTGGAGGCTGTGCTGGTTCTAATGGAGGTCGCACTGGATCCAATATTGGAAGGTGTGCTGGTTTCACCCGAGGTCACACTGGATCCAGTGTTGGAAGCTGTGCTGGTCTCACTGAATGCTGTGCTGGATTCAGTGTAGGGGAATGTGCTGGTCCCCCTAGGGGCTGCACTGGATGTAGTGTTGACAGTTGTGCTATTTTCACCGAAGGTTATACCTGATTATAATGATAAATGATGACAAATACATACATATATATATATATGTATGTATCTGTATAGATATAGATAGAGAGAGAGGCGGGGTGGAGAGGGAAAGAGGATGGGAGAGAGACAGAGAGAGGGAGGGAGGCAGAGGGACAGAGGGCATATATACTTACTGTTCAAAGCTTGGTTAAATTCATTACATAAATAATTCTACTTAATGCCCATACAGGCCTTTGAAATCAATACTATTATTATCACCAGCTAAGATGAAGAAACTGAGGCTTAGAAATGTTGAGTCTAGCCCAAAATTATACAGCTAGTCAGTAGTAGAAAAGGAATTTAAATCCTGGCTGTTGAACTGGCATTTTTAGCTACCATGCTTCCACCTTCTCCAGACAGGCCCAACACAGGGGTTACCTGACCTAGTTTCACTGGCAGTAAGCTTATTTCAAAATCTGCTATACAAGATCTAATACAGATAAAAATTCTCATAAAGGACTTGTAGGACCCAGCTTAAACTAGTATATACTGATTATTTCATTCTTAAAGTTGTATTGCTCCCTTCTTAAACTCTTCTCAAACTGTTATTCAGAAAATACATATATTAGGATCACCCAGAGAGCTTGTTGAAAATAAGGATTCCTACACAAACCATCCCAAACTAAATGAGTCAGAGTTTGAGGTGGGGCCCAGGTATCTGTCTCTTCTAAAGGAGCGAGTTATCCTATTTGCATTAAAGTGCCAGGGGCTCCTGACCACTGTGGCAGAGGTTGAAGAACAGGTTATATGTAGATTAAATGCATAAACTCTCCCAGGACTAAGGACCATATCAAGACCCACAGTATAGGGTAGTTTTTAATGTTCTTGGAGGCTCAGCTGGAGTTAAGGTTGTGCCTATTTTTTGCCCCTCACTACACTGAAGCACAAAGACACTAAGGTTCCCCAGAGCCTGTATTTATCTCATTGTGGCTCATTTTACTACTAACTGGGACATGGATGCCCACCACCCCACTCTGCATGTGTATATTTTTTCCTTAGTCTTATTTGAAGTAACATAGGATTAGAGTTAGCTCTATTTTGGAAAGGTCCCTAATTCTACAATGGGATGCAAATTGGGGTTAAGCTCAGAATCATGCATAAAACTAAATAGGAAACTGAGATGATCAAAAGTAGAGGTGGATTTGACCTGAGAAGTTTGGGAGAACAGATGAGTCAAAATGATAAGAGGGCTCATTTTGATTCAAAGTGATGAATTCTCTAAGAAGTCATGCTTTCTGGTTGTGCAGTAGGAGATGGCCCACAGAGGGTTTGCATGCCAGGACTATGGAAACAGAATGAGAATCAGTTTTGACTCTTAAATCCAATTCTCCTTGGTCTGAGGTTAATTTAGGCTGGTGTGGAACAGGACAGAAATTAGGTTTGTAGATTATTAGATGGGTGATATTTTTAAAAATAGTCAACTCGCAGCCTGGCTGGCGTAGCTCAGTGGATTGAGCGCGGGCTGGGAACCAAAGTGTCCCAGGTTCGATTCCCAGCCAGGGTACATTCCTGGGTTGCAGGCCAGAACCCCCAGCAACCGCACATTGATGTCTCTCTCTCTCTATCTCCCTCCCTTCCCTTTCTAAAAATTAACAAATAAAATCTTTTAAAAAAAAATAGTCAACTCGCCTTATTTTTAATATTTAGCATCCCCAGCCCTATCACATAGGTCATATCATTTCATAGATGTAGCACTGATGCACAGAGTAGTTAAACAGCTTGCCCAAAGTACACAGGTAACAGATGGAGCCATAGTTCCTATGCAGGCTATCAAAGACCAGTTTTAACACTGTGCTCAGACTGCCTCCCTATTAGACTGAGGTGACTGGAGTAAATGATCATGGTCATATGGAGGACCCCCATAGCTGCTCTAAGTAGTGGGCACCACTCCACAACCCCTCAAAGGTTTTTAGACCACCATTTTTAAAGAAAATCACTTACCATGTTTTAAAAGTAGGAGATGCAATAGTAACAAATACTTAAGGGGAATGCTTCCTTTCTGCATCTCGATCTGTCTCTTGATGGCCAGAAAGTAAGATAGCTTGATCCCAGATGCAGCCAGGGCCTAGAAGGTAATGAGCAGTATTCTTGAATAAGGAGAGTTCAAGGTGAAGAGATAAAAGCTGGAGCTTCCAGGAGCTTGGATCTCCTACATATGTGTTCTTGGGAACAGCCGTGAGTTTAGGGATGGAGTGAGAGACTGGATGATTGGTTTCCTTAAGCTTCCTCCATGCAATGCTCTTGCCTCTTCCTTTATCACGGAAGAGCCACAGGGGCCTTTATAGCTTCATATGGGTTGGGGAGGAGGTAGAAAGTTGACTTGTTCTTCTGTCAACTATGAGCAACTAAGAAAACAATACTGAGCCTGGAAAGGAATAGACAAGGGGTCAAGAGGAAGGTTAAAAGGAAGATGACATGATCACACTAGACAGGGCACTGGGCTGGGTTGCAGCAGGAAGTAGAATGGGACAAGGAGATCAAGGTTGTCAGAGTGGAAGGGACCCACCCTTTGAGGCATGGATGGGGCCAGAAACCTGTTCTACATCTGTTTCCTGGTCTGGAAGTCCTATGTGCCTGTTTCAGCAAGGAAAAAGCCCTAATGGACTGAGATAAGGAGGCAGGATCCCACATCTCTCAAGCAAACAAAAATATAAGACTCAAAAGAGAGCAATAATGAGAGATCTGGGTCCCCTGGATAATGGGTAGAAGGCAGATGGAGCCCTGTGGTGTGCAGTAGGCATTTGACAATGTACATTGAATGAATAGGGGAAGAGGGATCCAGGGATCAATAAAGCCATCTCTGTAGTCTCTCAGACATGGGGGCTGAAGTCATAGGGAGAGTGTTGAATGTGCAGGAACAAGCAACCTGCCAGACTACAGAGACAATATAGGGCCCCCTTGTGACCCTCAACCCAGGACTTCCCCCCTTGCTGGTTTTTAGAGAAATCCATTGGAACTTTTCTACCCTGGGATCCTAGAAATGTTCTTTACCATAAGCCTAATGAAGCATCTCTCAGTAGGTTATACCTCAGGTCACATTAGGACACTTCAAGTTTGTTATGGGCGGGAGATCTACAGTCCAAGTCTGCCAGGAGCTTCCTGTTGGGTCTGGACATGGATGTAGAAGCTGAAAGCACATGGTCAGCTAGATGAGCCTGATGGAAGAAACCCAAATGAGTGGGAGGTTTGAGAGCTCATGAAGAAGACATCTTGTGGCCAGGGCAAGAGGTGTGAGCTGATGGGTGTTCCACACATAGTGTGTGACAAAAGTCAGATGCTTCTCAGATTGCTTATTTTTAGGTGAATGAGTACCCTTAACATGTGAGACCTGCCAGAAAGAAGCTGGCAAGTGGGAAGGGGCTAGAGACATGTGGGACCTTGGAATGAGTGGATCTGAGAGTCAGAAAGGGATGGGGTGTGCTGGGAAAGGCTCAGGAACAAATGTCCTGGCAGCTGTGTGGGCAGTTCCTGAGGCAGAGGGCAAGGGGCCAGTCAGTGACAAATTGGGTCCTAGACTCCCCACAATCCTAAAAAACCAACAGCACTCCAAGAAAGAAACCTTCTTCTCCCCTTTAGACATGCTTGGAGGCAGAGATTCTGAAGTCCAGACCAGATCACATCTGTTAGAGGTTATCCTTAAAAATTTTTTTAACATGCACATTTATTATCCTCTCAATGCCATTAATACTTTACTCTTCCCCCAAAGCAACACAAGGACCTTGGCACACTTTCATTCTTATTACCCATCTACCAACTCATACCCTAAGGTTATCAAGTATTTTAATTCTATTTTGCTTTTTATCTTCCTGAGAGATTATTGTTGTCTGCTTATATACCATAAGCCAGCACATAGTCGCACAGATACAGTCACTTCAAACGAGACTGGGGAATATCCATGCACTCAATTAAAACTTGAGAAATCTGTTGTAAAAGATGGAGAATGGGTTTTAGTGGACAACCATTAAGCTATGGCACACACTTAAACCTGCTTGCTTTGTATTCAGTATTAAATAACTCCGGTGTCTTTGGGTTTTGTGGATGTGATCCTTCTGTTTTGTTTTGTCTTGTTTCTTGCTGGCTTCCATTGCTGTTGTTTGATATCATTTGTGATTGAGAGTTATAACTTCAAACTTATTTTTCTTGTGATATCTGTAGAAGTTCCTTGAGGCCTGAAATGAAGGTCTGATCTTCTACAGAGAATTTGCATGTTTGGGCCACAGGGGCCTTTTAAATTAAATGGTAAATTTGAAGTCTTTTGAATTACCCTTGATTTGGGGGCAGCAAACTATGTAGAGTATTGTGGTTACAGCTATTTCTCAAGACATACGTCCTCCTCCTCTCCCTTCCCCTGCACCAGGTTCAGAAAGAGGCAATTTTTCTTGCATTTCCTTAGGGGAGAGGTGGGCTTATTTTCAGTTTGCACTCTGCCTGAAGGTTTCAGGTTAATCTGAGGGCCCACTACTAGAGTCCCCACCTTGGCTGGTGCTACTGAAGCTTCAATGTGCCGGGTTTTGCCAAAGACGGCTTCAGTACTCCCCTTACTCCTCGGGTTCCTAGCTTAACTTAGTCTTTAACTTTAACATTCCTTATTTTCCTGCTCACTCATTGATTCATCTAAGAAGACTTTTTAGTCCACCATTTCAAGCTTTTCATGGTATTTTAGGCCGAGGCTCTTAACCCATTGTAAAGCTAGAAATTTATGTGCCCATTGGATTGTTTTGAGAAATAAAGCATGGTGTATTTAAAGGCACCAGCATGGTGTGTGGTACATAACAAGATGTGATCACAAAGGACAATGAAAAAAAGAGAAAAACATTAAAATATAGTTTCCAAGTGGAAGAAACAAAGAGTAAAGGAAGATGAATCTTCCCAAAGATGAAGGAGATCTGGGGGGTGCTGAGTAAGTCTTAAGATAGTTTTCTGTAATGTCCAGTTTGTGCGACTTGAAGCTACGAACCTAGCCAGGGGTTAACTAGGCTTACTGTGGTGATCAGTTTGCATATATACAAATATCAAATCATTCTGTTCTATACCTGAAACTAATGTAATGTAATGTATGTCAATTGTACCTCAATTTTTTTTTTTTAAAAAAAAGGAGGCATGGGCAATAGACCAGTGAAGATCATCAGTTTGCCAACAGGCACTTACAGAATTCCTACTGTGCACTTTTCACCAGTGAATTCCATGGTCAGGATTCCAGCCTGATATAATTAGAGGTGACTTCCCACTGTTTCTGGAACCTGCCCCTTCAACCAGCCATAGAAGCCATTTCTACATCTGGGGTCCTGGAAATGCCAACTGATAATTTTTGCTAAGATAATCCTTGATGTGAGACCATGTTTCAATGAAGGAGAGTTCTCTGGTGTGAAAGTCTTCTTTTCAGATAGTTGTTATGTCTTTTTTCCTGTGGAAGTCTTAGAAAATAACTCAGCAGTGTTTTTAAACTTCTCTGCTGTTTTTGTCCTTTTTGACTGATGATTTTAGTAAAGAATATGAAAGAACTGTCATTTTTCTCTGTTTAAGAAACACCTTATTGCTCTCCTTGACTGTGTTTTTTATTGTTGCTCTCATTACAAAATGAGTCAACAAATTTGCCTTGCTCTGACCTTTTAAAAAATGAAGAATGTCAGCCCTGGCCGGTGTGGCTCAGTTGGTTGGAACGTCATCCCATAAACCTAAATGTTGCAGGTGCGATTTCTAGTCAGGGCACATACTTAGGTTTTGGGTTTGATCCCTGGTCAGGGCCCATGCAAGAGGCAATCGATAGATGCTTCTCTCTCACATTGATATTTCTCTCACTCTCTCTCCCTCCATCCCTCTCTTTAAAATCAATAAGTATGTCCTTAAGTGAGGATAATAGAAAAATATGAAGAATGTCATGTAATTTAGAAATTGTCATGGGGATTTTTTACACCCTCTACTTGGTGTCAATTTTAAAAATAGACATTTTCTCAGTCCTTAATGTTCATGACGGACAATGCAGTTTTGTTCTAGTTTAACTGTGCACTGAAGCTTTAGCCCTGTAGGTGGCAGCTTTATTTAGGGTTTCCTATCACATGCCAACCCTTGTGTAGGTCCTGGACTTTGTCCCTGTGCCCTTACGCTCTAGTTCACCAGACTTCACAAATGCCCTCAATGTAAAGGCTGCTTCAGAGCTTTCCTTCAGTCTCTCTGAGAATCTGTCTTCTCTCAGCTGTTGACCTAAATATTACCTACTGTCTACCCAGCTAACTAATACAATTACAAAGATATTTTCCAATACTTTGCCCAGCAATTTTTGTGGTTTTCCCTGAGAGGCATGATTAATGTACCTTGTCGGCTCCACTGCCCTTTTGGAAGCCCATTCAGACCCATTTTATGGCCAGTGCCTTCTGCTCCCTGATCCCCTTCCTCCCTAATATTTTCTTTCTACAGCATCCTCCATTGACCAGTTTGTGTTTATACTCTCCTTGTCCTGTGCAGCTTCCCCGTGGCCTCCTCTCTGATCCATTTCATGGCTGTTGTATGGCCTTCCTCATGCCCATGATGGTGCCATCCTCATGATGAGCCATAACCACCCCCATGGCTGTGGCTCAACTCATGGCTTTCCCCATGTCCAAAGCGTCATGCTGCTCCATGGAACAGTTAATTTCACAAGCTGTGGGGCATTCCAAGGTCCTCTCCTGTGTCCAGGTCTAGACAAAGGCATGGAGGTTACAAATGCCTCTATTTACCAGAGGAAAAGTCCCTCTAAAAGACCCACACACAAAAAAAACCCCACCATTATTAGAGTGAAATCTTCCTTCCATAGCATTAAACCTTCTTGGATTGCGACTGGCTGGGGCTACACATCTTGGCTGGGAGTCTCCAGCCCTGTGTGGGGACCGTGTCAGAGGTATGGGACAAGATTACACAGGAACATGATTGATTACTGGAAGCAAAAGCTTTCTATTTACCACAGGTAACAGCCCTTTCAACCAGAAAGGATAAACATGGCTTTCTACCTGGACTCCTTATCTGACTCCCGGCACCTGTGCCTGGTGTTGTTCTGCACATAGGAGGCTTCCCCTAAAGATTGGTTGAAAGATTCGGGCTGCCTCTTTGCAGAACACCAGTTTCCAAAGCCCAACACAATGTCGTCTTCTTTGCTTGCTACCTGAGGGTATGCCCATGTACTGCTGTTTGCCTTCCCTGACATCAGGCTGGCTGGGCATCCTGGTGTCCAGTCAGTCACCCCTGGAAGCACTGCCAGCAGTCCTCTTGGGCAAAATTCTAGAGCTAATGACAG